TCAGATGAACTTCTTAGGAGCTGTAACATACAAAAATCAAATTTACCACAGCAATTTTTTTCTTTGACATTCTCCATATCTGGGTCATAGACTTGTTCTTTTCCACTCTCCTTTACCCCTGTTTCTGCTTCCAATTAGATCCCTTTATTTACTCTCCTAAGTCTTTTGAGATATTTTCTAAGTCAGGAAGAGACAAGAAGATGCTTACCCTGTAAGAGAAAAGTTACTCTGTGGATATTTATAGATATACCTAATGGAATTTCCAGCTCTAGCGTATCATGTTTGTTCATCTTCTTTGTCGAGTGATGTGACAAGCCATGAAGCTCCTGTCTCTGGTTACAAGGAAGGGTTATGAGGAAGGGTTAGACATAAGAGAAGTTTTTTGTTGTGTTGTTTCCTTGCCAAGTGGTTACTAAATTAATATTAGCAGTTGGAGAGGCCCAGGGTTTGACTTTTAGTTTTATGGGTAGATTAAATAATCTGGTATTTTGAATGCTGTTTTGAAATGATTTGGATATAATGGAATACATTGAATCCTTCAAATTCAATTCAAATTCAAAAGCTTCCCTTTTAGATTTTCTTTATTCCTTTTTTTGAAAAACTTTGCTTGGACTTCTCTGCTAAAACTGAAGCAGAATTACAGTTATATAACTTGCTTCATGAGTGTTTATCAGTCTATATTTGTATTAATTACTCTTTTATTCTCTCATCTCTTGTCCTGTTCTTCCACCACAAACAACTAGAGAGTTAGCAGTGCAATTGATTCCTATTTCGAAATCTAGCTCACACGATCCCTTTCTTTCTGTTTCCACTGTCACCAATATATGACCCTAGTCATCCCTTACGCAGGCCATTACATTAGTCTCCCATTCGTTGTATAAGATCTCTGGTCTTTTCTCTTCTTATTTCATCTTACAAACTACTGCCAGATTTTCTTAGAATCATTTATTGGCTTCCTGTTGTGTAAGCAGTGGTTTTTAAAGTATGATTTGTGGAGCCAAACCCGAGGATCCCCCTGATCCTGTTAGGTTAAACCTCTTTTCATAATAAAACTTGGCTTTTTTTTTTTTATTGTGTTGACTTTTATACTGATGATGCAAAAGCAATTATGAGTAAAACTACTGATGCAGTAGCAGGAATCAAGGCATGGCACCAAGCTATACCAGTAGTTGTTGTATTCTTGTCTGCTACACAGTAGGGAAAAAAAGAACTTTTACTTAAGAATATCCTTGAGAACTCAGTGAAAATCCTTAATTTTATTAAATCTCAACCCAGGAGTTTACAACTATTTAACATCCTGTGTGATGACACGGAAGGTATTCATCAGGTGCAAACTGAAGTATCATGGTCTTAACAATGGAAAGCATTTGTGCAAATTGATATGCGAGCTGGACTTGCCACTTGTTTTTCATGGAACACTATTTTTATTTGAAAGAACAACTGAAAAACAAACTATTGTTATTTGGTCTTGGTTATTTGGCAGACATTTTCTGGAAAAAGAAAGACATAAACCTATCATTTATGGGGAAAAAGCCAACAGTATTTATTGCCAGTGATAAAATCCAAGACTAAAAATGAAAATCAGTATATTTTGAAAACTTGAATCTGCCACCTTGAGCTTAACAGCTTTCCAGTACTTAAAGACTTTTCTGATGAGATCAAGACTTTTCTGAAGATTAATGAATGTGATTTTTTTTGATATTATGAAATGAAAAGTATCAACATTTGTAAGATCTGCAAAACTAAATGAACCAATGCTTTCTAAATGATCAATGCATAGTGTTACAAATTCATGCATATGAGTAAAATATCCATTGAAAGAGCAAGGTAAACCAATGATTTTTAACGTAATAGAATATGAAAAGTTCATTGATGTGGTGTTAGATTCCACATTGTACTCACTTTTAAGAAGCAACTGCTTGTCAGGTTTTGGTATAGTATTAAAAAAGATGATCCATAATTATCTAAAAATGCTTTTAAATTACTCTTCCCTTTTCCAACTACATATCTGTGTGAGTCCAGATTTTCTTCATATACTTCAACCAAAACAACATAAAGCAATAGACTGAATGTTGAAACACATATAAGAACCCAGCTGTCTTCTGTTCAGCCAGACTTTAAAGAGATTTGCAAAATTCAAAACAGTGTCACTCTTCTCACATATTTTTTTTGTTTTGGGAAATAGTTATGTTTCATTAAAAATGTGTTATTTATATTAACGTGTAATAGATTTGTTATATCATTAAATGAATAAATGTTTTTTAAATTTCTCAGTTTTAATTTCTAATATGGTAAATATTGATAAATGTAACCTACATAAATAAAAGCTGTTTCAAGATTTCAATAATTTTAAGAGCCTGAAGGGATCCTGAGATCAAAAAACTTTGAGAATTACTAGTCTACATGATACTATCCAGGCTTAGAGAAGTGCTTTCAAAGAGTAACTTCGGACACTGTTTCTCAAATTAGTCAACTTTTGTAATTAGGCCGGTATCCAGTGTCCTTAGTATCCTTATCGGAATGGAGCAGTGCAAATCTAATTTCTTTTTCCTCTTTTGTTATTAAGATTCTTATTTGTAATTCTAAGTTAGTTATCCTTCTTTTTTGTTTTCTTCCTTGGTATGCATTCTTATAAAATTGTCAAAAAGTGGGCATTAGTAAAACAACAATGAAATTATAAAATTTATAACACAACTAATCAATCTCATAATTTAGATAGAAAATTTTAAGATATAGAGGTATTGGTCTGTACTTCATTCTACCTTGAGCCCGGGTTGAAGTAGTTTGGGGTCCCAAAATGCTTTATGAGACATTGTCTAGTTTCATAATACCGTAAAGAAATGAGGAACACAGGTCAGGTGGGAGAAAGAGACATGAGACAGTGGGACTTTAAGAGAATTACTTAGGATGACATAGAGAAGAGAATTTAGGTTTTCGTAAATTCAGTGCTGATACAGATTTATATTTTGGCAGGAAACCTGGGTTATGCTATAAATATGGTATTCTGTGTTCTGATTTTTATGGACAGAGTTTATCAATGTCTTCTTGCTTAGTATAGATCATAAGATTACAGTTCAAATTCAATTATAGTGGGCAGTTTAGGTCACCCATGGCTAACTTACATAAGAAGGTTAGTCATTTGAATGAATACTTGTCTGGACCACAAAACCACCATATTTCCACATAAAGTAGCTGCATCCCTCTCTGTTGAAGTGGTCTTGGTATTTGACTTTAAAAATAGGCCTACGTTGTGGTAAAAATCTAACCCATTTGTTTGTCCAAATCATGTGAAGAAAATCAGTTTTGACGTGGCTTTTAAGGACAAGTATCTCCTATATGTGTCAAAAAGGATTGAGTCAGTTCTTTTAGAGTTTTTGGTGATAATTTTAAGAAAATTTGAAATATAAAGAAAACTTTTAAGTAATTTAAGATGCTTAGAATACAAGGGGAGACTTACAGGTGGCGGGGAGAGAGTTGGTGTGGAATGGAGAAGCTTAGGATGCAGCATGTACTGCTGTGCATAGTGCAGAGGAGATAGAAGCAGGAAAATAAGAGTGGCGGGGGGAAGAGAAACAGTAAACTTCTAAGGATTAGTAACATGTCCAGCCAAGCCCTATTGGTTCTTGGACTTTGAATTATCTTGGAGGATAGTTGATAAGCTCCCCCAAAAATGCAGAGCAACAAGTTTAGATAGATTTTTAGAAGCAAGGGAAGCTAAGCCAGAAGGAGCACTGAAGGTAATATTGGACACATAAGGGGATATAAGAGAGACATAGACCTAACTGCCCTCATTACTGACTTGTTTGCTTTCTACAGAACGCCAGTTATAGTATGCATCTTTGGGTAACTAGAGTGTAAAACATCTAGGAAATCATTTGAATTTCCTTGACGTCAATACCAGGTGTACCTATCATCCTGTGATAAAAAGACAGTCTGTAGAATGTAACAGTAGTGAAAACACTCATCTAATAGATAAAATGTGCTTATTTATAGTTTACGAGTCTCCTACCCTCACAGGTGTTTGTTTTCTAATTTCTTTAGTTTGAGGTGTTCTTCCAGCATAAAAACTAAATAATAATAAATAATGCATTTTAAATGATCCCTGCAGTATATTCCTGAGAAGAATTAGTCCTTCATCGCTAAAGAACTTTTAATACTGTATATCGAACTGTCATAAAAGCCTTATTTACTGGATCTAATATGTACTTATGATTAAGATACGTTCTAAGTTTTACAGCAGCCCAAATGAGTGAACAGTTCATATCAAAAAAATTTAACAAAGTAGTACTAACCACTTGGTATGTTATAGGAAAATAAGACATTGAGAAGAATTGAGATACAGCTTTGATATTGCGTACCTCTACCTCTAAGAGACATCATGGTAATATGTTTAGATCTTTCCTTGAAGAAATTGCTTTCTATGTTTTTAAGATCTTACTGGCCTCTAGTGGTAATATGACGCTACAGTTTAAACATTTCTAATTCTTATGGGTGACTAGAAATAAAGCTATTTTGAAGGCATAAGCTGCCAATAGCTTCACTCTCTCAGTTCTGGGTCAACTGTACTCTCAAATGTACTTGCAACATCATCTTCCTCCTAAAGACCGGAGGCTCTATCATTTGTTCTTGTCTCTAAGTCACCCCCACCTCTTTATTTTGAATGATATTGCTTTAGTTCTGAAGCTACCTCAGCTTCAGAGATATTTTAGATTTTAGGTTATTTTAGTGCCTATACAGTGGTGGCTACTGTGTCAAGTCTATGCTAATCATTCTTCTTAGAGTGTTTCAGCCTTCTTTTCTGCAGACTGTAGGGCCAATTTTTCCCTGTGTACCTAACAGTTTTTACTCTCTTAAGAGGAAGTTAAATTTTCAATTTACCATTTACTTTCATGTTTAGACCTCTTTCTGTAATTTGATCTTGAAGAATCTTACATTTGAAATACTGGTTTATTAAGCATGATAATAATTTTTCACTTCTGGTTTTTGTATTTGTCACACAGATGTGAAAGGGCCACCTACCCATCGTCTGTCTTGTGGCCAGTCACCCTACACTGAGACGACAACATGGGAACGGAAATATTGCATCCTCACAGACAGCCAGTTGGTGTTGCTCAACAAAGAGAAGGAGGTGAGAGGGATATTATTGAGAAAAGCTACTTCCTTTTTCTGACCAAATTCTTGAAATAATCTAGTTTTTATTTGTATTTTGATAAGTCACGTTTATGAAAATGGAGACTTTATGAATGATAAACTATAAGTAAGTCTAAAGAGTGGCTAATGTCGGAATGATACATCATAATGACTGCCATGAAGGCGTGAGTTCAACAAGATAGGGCTGAATTTTCATTAAGGACCAGTGCAAGAGATACTGAGTTTGACTACTTTGGAGTGAGAATGGATTGGATTGTGTAGACCTGGCCCCAAAAATGACCCAGAGGGACTATTGGAAATTATATCAGTCTAGCTCCTAGCAAGTAACAAATGGCACAGTCAGTGGATTAATTGAAAGAGGTTTAATGAAGGGACTATTTATAGAGGCATGGGCAACATAAGGGACCCACCAAAAGGTGGTGAAGCGCACGTGAACTACCAACAGCCAAAGGCAGTATTACCCTAGACCTTCAGGGTAAGGGAAGAGAGCAACGTTTCTGGAACCCAGAGAACTGTGGTTGTATGAGAGGGCTGCATGACAGTTGCCGTGGCTACACACAAAGAACACAGCCTCTTCTGAAACAAAAATGGCCAGCAGGGAGGAAGCAAGGGCGAATAAATACTACAATTCTCTTTTCCTGTCTTCTGATTTCTTGCCGATGTTACCTACTGCCCAAACCTAACTTGGAGACAGGAAAAGATTGCCCTTGATGTGTTCTGTAAAGGTTTACTTCCTGAAATACACAGCAAGGGAGAGAAAGGCAGAGAGTAGATCTGGAGAGGCATGCAGAGTATAATTAGCACAGACATCTAGTTCTAGGTGAAATTTATATCCCTCTGAATTAAAAAACTCTCGAACTTATACTATTACTACTTTACTACTCAAACTGTTACCATGTACAAATCCTTCTACATCCAAATAATTTATTTGCTTATTGATCATTTATCAGATTGTATTTTGTATCATTCTGATTTGGTAGGGCTATAAAACCATCCTACTCCCAACCTCCGCAACGTAAAAAAATGAGTGAATATGATCTTGACAAAGAAGAGGGATAATGACAGGAAAGGAGAAGAAAAGATCTGATTCAATGAAGGAGAAAGATTACTTGCCAAAAATATATATAAATAACTAGAAAGCTGTAGGGAGAATATCAATTTACTAAGTCATCCCTCCTGAAAAGTAAGAAGAGGAAGCAATGAACAGGAATACATTTCTCAGTTCTCATTTGTGGATCCCTACCTTCCTTTCCTCTTCTGTCTCTCCTCCCTCTCTGTCCCTTTTCTTTTCCATCCTTTCTCTTACTCAGCAATTGTTAATATGGTAAAGGAAGGTAATAACAGTAAAGCAATTTCTGTTTCTTCTTTTATTTTAATAGACAGTCCTTATTTGCGAAGGCCCAGCTAATGTGTCCTCCATGAAAAACTTGCTTATTCTTTTTCTCCAGCCATTTAAAAATGTTCTTACTTTTGTTACTATCTCCCTACCCATGACCCTTTCCTAGAATTTTAATATTATTAAATTTAATTTTATTAAAATAACTTAATAAAGGTCAACTTTTTCTGGTTCAGTCTAGTACTTGTTGCTGTGTTTATATTAAATGGATACATAATAAAAATTGGTAGAGTGAATATTAATATATATAATATATATATAGAGAGAGTGAATATTAGTGTAGAAGATTTCTAATTATCCAATTTGAATAAACAGGTAATTCAAAATACTCATTTTAACCAACCTACTCTGTCAGCAGTCAGAGCTATTAGTAAGGAGTTATATAAACAGATCATTTGCCACCTTTTTGCCCATACTTACATTTTATTCAATGTAGTACTGTAAGAAATTAAATAGCCTGAGGATACGTAGCGTAAGGTCAAGAAGCATGCCTTACCTAGAACCAAGATATAATCTATTGATTAAATATTACTGATCAATTGAGTAATCCAGACCTGGGCCCCCTTTGTCTGGTAAAATAACTATCCATGATGAATAATTTCCTAAAATAATATCTTACATGATTTATCCCTTTTTATGCCAGTCATCATGAGTATCCCTGGACACCTGGGGAAGCTCTCATCTCCCATACTCTGCATATGGCTCTCTAAATCCTCTTTTCTGTCCCTGGCTTCCACTCATCCTTTCCTACCTCTTTTTTTTTTTTTTTTCTTTTAAAGATTGGCATCTGAGCTAACATCTGTTGCCAATGTTTTTCTTCTTCTTCTTCTCCCCAAAGGTCCCCCGCCAGTACGTAGTTGTACATTCTAGTTGTGAGTGCCTCTGGTTGTACCTTGTGGGACACTGCCTCAGCATGGCTTGATGAGTGGTGCCATGGATCCGAACCAGTGAAACCCCGGGCTGCAGAAGCGGAGCATGCAACTTTAAGCACTCGGCAACTGGGCCGGCCCCCCTTTCCTACCTCCTTAAACCCTTTCACTATGCCCTCTACAACTCATGGCCCGTCATCAGCAAAATCAGCTGTTTCTTCCACCTCTTCCCTGAGGAAATCCCTTAACTTCTTGGTCTCATGAGAACCTGTATCTTGTCTAAGGACACTATCCTCTGTGAAATACCGTTGAGTGATGGCTGTTCTTCTCCCACAGCCCTCATACCATGCTGCCTATAGTAGGTGTCCGTCTCCTTTCATGAATGTTTCCTATCTTTTTCCTATCTATTTTTCTCTAAAAAGCCCAAACTCTGAATCTCATGGTGTAGTCATCATTCCTCCTCCTTTTTTTCTTGCTCCTGGATTTTTTATTGCCCTTGGCATTTTTTGTTGCCCCTGACTCATTGTCATTATCTTCAGCACTGCTCTAGCCTTAATTTGTGATGATTCCAGTGTCCACAGAGATGATTCATTCAACACACTGGCTCTCAGTTCCTTGAACTCCTCTCCTCCAAGAATCTTTTCCTCTATTCTGCCTCCTTGCTACAACTTTTTCATAGTCTCAGTTGTGCACATCTTATTCTCTATCACTTTCTGTCGGTGTAGCCCATCCCTTGTTCCAACAATTCTTCAATCCTTTTGGGACCTGTGGCCCATTGATCCTGTCACCTTTTCTCCCTCATATCTCTGATATCCTCTCTTCCCTTTTCACGCAGTCTGAATTCCATGGTCAGTCATTCCAAGGTCATCCCTTGCATACTATTTCCTTGTCCTTCTCTTGTATCATCATACTCACTTGGCAATAGATAGGTGCAGTTAAATCCTGTTCTTCATCTATCCTGCCCTACTTTTATGCAACATAATGTGTCTGAAGAAAATCACTCTGCCATCCTGATAACCTTTAAACTAATGGCTGCAAACCTCCTGTGAGCCCCTAATGCTTTTTGGTAATCATAAGACATTTTCTTAGTCCATTTACTGTCCAACTCTCATGGACTAGTGCGTCTCAATCTATGTGTGGTGAAGAACCAGTTTTTTCCACCATGTCATCATGAATAATAAAATACAATGAAATGAATTGTTATGAAAAATGAAATTTGTTTTGTGTTTTTTTTAATTTTTTTATTTTATTTTTTTTCCTTTTTTCTCCCAAAGCCCCTCAGGTACATAGTTGTGTGTTTTTAGTTGTGGGTCCTTCTAGTTGTGGGATGTGGGATGCCGCCTCAGCATGGCTTGATGAGTGGTGCCATGTCTGCACCCAGGATTCGAACTGGCGCAACCCTGGGCCACCGAAGCAGAGCGCACAAACTTAACCACTTGGCCACGGGCCTGCCCCCCCCCAAAAAAATGAAATTTAAGAAGAAGTAAAAATACAAGCCCCAATTTTTATTAGATTTGATAAAAATGAAATTACAATTCAATAAGTATACACAGAATAATCATAACATAGGAAAAGAAGGAATAAAATTACAAAAATTGTACATGTTCATGGAAAGTGTACTGTATAATGAGACAAATCCACTGATCACACCAGACACAATTCTTCTCAATTTCTTTACTGTTAAGTTGTTTATTGCGGGCCAGTAACAGTTTGCAGAACAGCACAGGACCTTAGGCCACACTTTGAGTAGTACAATCTAAAATGATTTCTAAGATGATTTTTTTTTACATCTCCTCCTCTATTCCTAAATCTTCTGTTACTGTCACTTACAGGTGGTTACTTTGCTTTTTACTTCACTGAGAAAATTCAAGCACTCAGAAGAGAACTTCTGCATACTCCATTACCATGTCTACCCATCCATCAGCAACTATTTCCTTATACCCTGATTTCCTTCCTTTAACCGTGGTTGAACTGTCCACAATCCAATGGTCAGCCTCTCCACATGTGTCCATTGCATTACCTCTTGCCTATTCAAGGATGTATATATCACTAGCAATTCTCCCAACCTCTTTTACATCTTCAATTTTTCCATCTCTACTAGATCATTCCCATCAGCATGCAATTATTTCTCCCATCTTAAAAGAAAAAATAAGCCTTTATTAACCTCACTTCTGCCTCCGGTTACTACTCCTTTCTCTGCTTCCCTTAATGGCAAAGATTCTTGCAACTTCTAAACTTATTGTCTCTAACTTCTCTCCTCTCATTCTCTCTTAAACCTACTCCTACCAGACTCTTATGCACACCACTCTGCCAAAAGTGCTGTGTTAAGCTCACTGGTGACCTCCATATTGCTAAATTCAGTAGTCAATTTTCAGTTCTCGTCTTACTTGATCTGTTAGTGGCATTTAATGCAATTGATCGCTCATTCCTTCTCCTAGAACTGCTTTCTTCACTTGGCTTTCATGACACTGTACTAAGAAAAGTTTTCCTCCTGCTTCTCTGGCAGTTCCTTCTGAGTCATCTTTGCAGATTTCTCTTCTTCTCTCCAAATCTTAACAGGAGAGTGCCACAGCGTTCAGTCCTTAGATCTCACTTCCTTAGGAATCTCTTCCAGTCTTAAGACTTTAAATACCCTCTAATGCTCATGATTTCTAATTTTGTATCTCAAACCTACACATCTCTTTTCTGTAGACTCATGGATCCATCTGCCCA